TGAAAGACACTAAAGCAGGGAAGTTGGTGCAGTTCCAGTTTGAGTCCTGAAAGGAGTCCGCAGGACACTGGTATGGGCCCGGAGTCTAAGGAACCTGGAGACTCTGGATGAAGGGGCAAAGGGGCTAGGAGCCAAGAGGAACAAATACGGCCAAAGGTCAAGTGGAGGAGCAGGAGTAGAGCTCTCAGAAGGTATAGATGTGGAAAAGACAGTATGCTCAGGAAGAAAGGAGGGAGAAGAAGGAAACAACTCTACTTCCTCATTATGTCCCCTCCACCCACACTCCCAGAGCCAATTGAATAGGGCCTACCCACATTAAAGGTAGGTTTTCTCAGATAACTGACTCATGCACCAGTTCTACCAGAAAACACTCTCACAGACATACTTAGAAACAGTGTTTCACCGGCTTCCAGGTGTCCTTCAGTCAAGTTGATACCCCAAATTAACCATCATAGATCTCTGACATTTCAGGCTGTGTTAACCCAGCAGAAAAGAGGAGTTGCCTTTTTGGAGGTTAATTGACCATGATCATAAAGAATAAAGGCAAAGAGGAATATTTGTATTCACAAGAGATCCATTTAGAGAATTCCTAATATTCCTTTGCCCAATTTTGTTGGTATATACCAAGTGCATTAACCACAGCTAAAGAAGAAAAGCTCAGACTTTTGAAAACTGAGGTCTGGGTCACACTTCCACCTAAGCCACTGAGACCAGTAGAGTTATTAGCTAAAAATTACAGAACTCCTGAATTGATAGTAAAAGTGGAAGATGAATATCAGTTGCAACCTTTAGCCTATATTCATCAGGGAGGACTGTTATTCATCCCACTAATATTTCTCTACTATGTTTATTTATGAATAAAGACCCCTTGAAATATAAGAAGAGCTAGCTTTGGTTTTATATGAGAAGTGTATGTAAGCAACAAAAACAGAGGAATATAATTTATCCTGTGCTGTCTACATAGATCTTGTCTTAGGGATAAAAGATATATTCCACAGTTATTGGCAATACTGACAGTAGAAAGCCATCAATGGTGGGATCACTTTAGAAACTGTCTCAGTTAAAACAAGCTTCTTAGCCCAAAGACATGCTCCCTTCCTAGGTCAGCTGAGATCCAGTGACTAATTAATGCAGATGTATAAAAAACCATGCTTCTCACTGTTATGTGGGTCAGGCCACCTCCAGAACCACCACCCCCCAAATACAGGGGGGGAGCCACTGATGAACAGAATCTCTGGCTAGCTTCCCAATCTGCCCAATCTTGTTTCCATCTTTTTTTCCTCCCCGTTATTTATCATAAGAGAATTCCCTGTTAAAACTTCCTGCACAATAATCAGAATAACAAAAAGTTTCTGCATAGCAAAGAAAACAATAATCACAGTGAAGACACAATCCTTGGAATGGGAGAAAAGATTTGCAAATTACGTTTTAGATAAGGAACTGATAACCACTGTTATACATAGTTTAATAATGAAAATACAAATAATAGTTTAATTCTTCTCTTATTGTTTTACTTGTTGAATGCTGAATGACTTTGATAATTTCATTCTGTTTTCATGTTTGATTAATCACTTTTTTCCCCATTTACTTTATGCCAAAATGCCAAATATACGGTAACCCTGCCTAATTTGGGTGAACATTTTATTGATTTCTTTTTAGTATCATCAATTTATAAATGATTTTCTGCTTTCATCAAATGTATAATTTGATTGTTTATTTTATCTTTGATATTATAACATTTTGAGAATATTTAATTCCCTGGAAGGGAATTCTTCAAGTTTGAGATAAAACATTATAAATGCTTGAATAAAATATTAATTACAACAAAATTTGATATACATACCTTATTTTACATTCAAATATCCATGAATGCAATGATTTTATAAACTGAGATAGTCCTGAGAATTTAATAATGACAATATTAATTTTAATTTTCATAAAGGAAAGGAAGTATTGTGTTATTGGGAATGTCATGATACATTTTTGCATAGAAAATTACTATCATGAGTTCCCAGTGACCGAATATAATTGTTAGAGGAATCTGTTGCCTGATTTGGCATTTACAATGTTCCAAAGTTTAGTCAGTTATCACTGACTCTCTTTTACTATATCAATTCTTGTATATTTTTCAGAAGATATTTTTAACACTTTTTATTTATTCATTAATTTATTTTTAATTTATTTCTTTTTGTATATACATTCAATCGCATTGTTTAGCTTACAATGTGAGCATTTCAATATGTGAACATTTCTCCCCAGTCCCGTTGATCAAAATATCTTCAACCGATAACACCATGCTTCCCCATCCCGTCAATGTTCTACCTCCGTATCCCTTCTCCAAATGTCCTTTGTTAGACCCCACTCCTCCACATACACCTCATCTGACATTCACACCCATCTCTTGTGTTTGTACAACCATTAGTCAGTTTCAGGCATAGAGTACAGACATTCGGTATATGTTAAGTGGGGACATACAATGTCTCTCCTTCATAGCCTGGCTTGCCTCACTCAGCAGTAAATCTTCCATATTTTTCCACTTTCTGTCAAAAGCCAGGGTTTTGTTGTTTTTTATGGCTGAGTAGTATTCCGTAGACTATCTGTACCACAGTTTTTATTTTCTGTCATAACAACCTCCCATTCCGGAAAGAAAATACCAGTCTTCAAGCAAATGATCACTGCCTTAACTCTTACTCCCAGAATCTCCAAACAAGTAGAGTTATAACAGAATTAATCATTCCAAAGTTGTAAAAACTGTGTATGTTTTCTGTACAAAGAAATGACAAACATTTTTTTCTTAAATTTATGAATCTGGGACCAGCAGGTGGCATAATGGTTACATCGCTGGACTCTCACATAGTCAACTGTGGTTTGAGTTCCAGGCCTAAAACTTATAAACATGCTGGGCACATGTACATACATGCATGCCCAAAATCCTGAGAGGAGATTAGAGGAGAAGGGATTGCAGCGTGGCCGTACTCCCTGGGTGATGATTTCTCACTTTCTGTCTCTTGGTGAGCACATACACCCTTTAGCAAAAAATCTCTCTTAAGAAAAAATGTATGAATCTGTAATTTGACCTTTAAATGTACCAGAACAACTTTCTGTCTGCCATGTTATTCCTAAAATCTTTTTGAATGTTACAGACTGCTTAAAAAAAAAAAAAAGAAAGAAAGAAAGAAACGCCATGGGTAACTGGTTTCCTATGACCATTTAAACTGTGTTTATGTAAATAACTGGTGATATAGCTATATTGGCTAATAAAATTGTAGCTTAATCAGAAAAAATAAATTTAATATCAGACAAAATAAATTTTACTCAAAATTCTGTTTCTCTGTGTGTTTGGCATTTACTACAATTCTATAAAACAATAGAACAATTTACTTTAAACAATCATTTAGCCTGAGGCCAGCAGGAGGTGCAATGGTTATTCCCCCTTGGGGAGAGTGATTTCTCACTTTCCTTCTCACTGTCTCTCTCTGCCAAGCACTTGTACTCTATGGAAATAACCCTTTTAAAAAATCATTTAGTCATTCTTCATGAAGTGCTTAAAGTGTGTTTAACATTGCTTTTTTAAAAATTATTTTATTTAATAATTTATTATATTCATCATTATTATTTTTTTTAATTTGACCAGAGAGTGACAGAAAGAGACAGAGAGAGACTGAGAGAGAGAAAACAAGAAGGCAAACCATCAGGTCCAGGATTCAAATCACAGTCTGCCATGTGGAAGTCTGGCACTTTAACCACTACACCACCTGACAGCTCCCGGCACTGCTTTTTTGATTAGCATGTGGTGAACCAAAACTTGTTAATTATAAAAAACCTGTGAGTTTTAATTATAAACATGTGAGCTTAACATTTTCAAAGTGCTTATACTACCATAGAAATGTCTTTCACACTAATGTACTAAAAGAATCATTTCAACTTTAAATAACTTTCTTATTCATATATAATTTTAAATTGCAAATATAGTACAAATGTATTTTGAATTTTATATATATATATATATATATTCTTTGAAGGATCATTTCAAAATAAAAAAGCTTTCTTAAAGCTAATTTATATTGTTATAGATGTATAAAATGTATTTATTATGCTTAGGTATATTATTTTTAGATGCTTAAGTAGACATGCTATGACTTATTTTTTATTTAAGTATGAAACAAAATGTAAAATTTAATGGTCCTTGAATTGAAAGGAAAATATATTCATACTGACACTAAAATATACCTTTTTTTTCTATCAGACTCAGAAATGGATGCATAAATACAAACCTAGCAATAAAAAAGAATGATCCCATCCATTATGTATTGCTAAACTCATGAAGTTCTATAAGAAAGAGCTAACTGTGGTTAAACACTAATACACACATGGCACTTCACAATGGCTGCATAAAACTCTCAAAAATGTCGTGAATCTGATTACTTTAAATAGTCCAAACATGTGAGGTTATTTTGAGTGTCTAAATTCTCTTTAACACAATTTTCAAGAGGAAATACGTTAAATATATCCTACCTATATGTTATGGTCAACATTGTCCTAGCAATGTAGTATATTAAACTGATCATGTTCATGTTGGTGTTCACTAAACATGAAGTTCTACACTCTGATGGTAATAAGAATTGATCATGTTCATGTCGGTGTTCACTGATCATGAAGTTCTACACTCTGATGGTAATAAGAGACATCAGAGTGCTTTATAATAAGGAAAAGACCTACTAGAGCTTGGAAATCAAACCATTTTTTAAAATGTTAAACTACAAAACATCATTTGTGTCTGGAGAAAAATTACAGATGAGAATCAAATATGAAACTAAATCTTAACAACAAAATTATAACCAAATGAGAGATAAGAGATGTACATAAGTGAGCAACAGACACAATAAATACTGCTCAAACCAGAGACAAGATGCATCTGCCTGTACTGAGCAGAAAATCAAACACGACAAGAGAATTTTCCTCTTCTGTCTTCTAGAGGGCATGTTCTTTCTTGTCCTAACATGGGGCTAGACGGTGCTGAAGCAAATTTTGCAAGTATTGTAAAACCAAGCAGAGCAACAGATTTCATTTTAACACTCTATGAATTTTATCATATTTCATATTCATCATTGACCTTCAATATCATGTTAAAGATTTTTTTTTCCCCCAAGAAAAGAAGCATTTTTTTTGAAACTCTATGAATTACACATGAGAGAGGGCTTATGGGGAGAAACACATATTTATTTTTAAGAACAGAAAACAAGATCCTGAAGATGTATTTTAAATGTGTGTTCTCTAGTAATAAAACTTTTTATTTTATTTTATTTTATTTATATTTTTAATACATTCAATCACATTATTTAGCTTACAAGGTGATCATTTCAATATGTGAACATTCTCCCCAGTCCAGTTGATCAAAATATAACAATACTACCTCCCTGTCTCAGCAATGCTGTCTCCATATCCCTCCTCCAAATGTTTTTCCCCAGGCCCCACTCCTCCACACACACCACATCTGGCATTCACACCCATCTCTTGTGTTTATACATCCTTTAGCCTGTCAGCTTCAGTTATAGAGTGCAGACACTTGGTATATATTAAGTGGGGAATTAGTGTGAATCGACAGCCCTCAGAATGGGTAATAAAACTTTTAAAGGGAAAGCAGCTGTTGAACAAGTTCTTTTTTTTAAAAAAAATAAAGTGGTGGGGGTTGATTAGGAGGAGATACAGAGAAATTCACACACTTTTTTGTAAAAAGTGGAGGAAATAGACCTATTAGCCAGAATCTTTCTGTAAGTAGCATCAGGTCTCTTCTTTCTGACCTTTTCCCTTGTCAAAATTAGCACATTACTGCCTTCCAACTACTGGAAATGGTTTTAACCTCACAGTTCATACCTTCAAGCCCACAGACATCTGCACTCTGACAGCAGTTTCACAGTCCCTGCTTGCAGGAAGTATCCGAGGAACTGCCAGGTCAAAATTCCCTTTCCTTGCCTGACTGAGTTCCTGATTCATCTGCTCCACCAAGTCATAAACACTTTTCTAACCCCAGGATTTTACCATATTTAAAACTAGTAACCCCTTTTACTTTTTTTCATGGAACTTTTTCTCAGTTTTCTAGAGTTCTCTCTTCTCTTCCATAAAATGGTAACTATACTCATATCAGTTTTAGTGCCACTCTTAGAAACTTTTATTATAAATTCTTTGTTTATAAATTCCAGTATCTACATGTCCTTCCTCTGGCCCAACATTCTTTTTTATTATTATTAAGAATTATTGATTTAATTTTATTCATTTTTTTTTTTTATTGACCAGAGAGAAAAAGAGAACTAGGAAGTCAAAAAGCAAGCTGCCAAGTCTGGTACTTGAACCATGGCCAGCCAAGTGGAGGTCCAGCACTTTAACAACCACAATACCGGCCAGCTCTGGCCTAATACTCTTTAAATGACAGCCAACACTGAATCCTCATCACCCTGTGTACTCCAGTAAGCTATCTGAATAATCTGGGACCTGGTGAACACTTTTTATATTTCCTATTGGACTGCTTCACTCTATCTACTGTCAAATCTACTTAGAAATATACAGGCAGCCTTAAAAATGTTTATGCTAAAAAGAAGCCCATAAATAATTGCCAGTTATATTTTCTATGTTTACTTAATTTTTATGACCTCAGTATTACAAACCCAGTTTATAATATACTCGACTTTCGCTTTTTTGTGAACATGCTTCATTAAGAAATTTTATTGTTCCACTAATAAATCAAAAAATAAAACTTAATCAAAGTCATAAATGTCATGGGTAACCATCTGCTTGGATTAACTATCTATAATTTTTAACATGTGATTTTTGTATGCTCAAAAACCTAATGCTGACCATAACAGGAGGAAACAGTTTGAAAGCAGCATGCAATGAATGTATATTTATCCAACTCTTCCCATTAGACTCATACAAAAATCTTTCCAGTGCTCCACTTTGATTTCCTGTGTCTCATACAAATAGGAGAAGAAAAAGAAACTTATGGTTTGAGGCTGTCAGTGAATATTAGTGCTGTGAGCCTGTTGGAAGCAGAGAACATAAAATATAAGCTCAGAAAAGATGACTTATTTAGAGTGAAAACAATAAAGATCACTATGTCCTTTAGGAAAAAAAAAAACCTTCTGATACCTACATATACGTGTAGCCATATATCCAGTACTACCTGCAAAAGAGAAGCTAAAATAACAATTTAGGAAGTTATCATTGTTATGTATTTGGATGTTCTTTTCTAATATTAAAAACAATTCCATGACTACAGAGATGACAGTCAGAAAATGGAATGTAGACCACTACAAGTTAAGAGTATAACACAGTTTTTACATTTGATCAGAATAATTATAATACCTTTATGTAGTATAAAAATTAATAAGAAAATTAACAGTGACTATATCAGGATAAACTGTACGTAGGAGTTGACTATGACCTAGTGGTTAAGGAAACCAGATCCCACATGGCTGACTAAACAGTTTTAATCCCATCCCAGGAAGCTTGATAAACAAGCAGGGCATGTATGCAAGTGTGCCCAAATCCAGAAAGCATAGAGAAATGGAGGAGAAAGGATTGTGCAGTGACCATGCCCCACTGATGGATTCTCATTCATTCTCTCTCTCTCTCTCTCTCTCTCTCTGTCTCTCTCTCTCTCTCTCTCTCTCTTTCTTCTTCTTCTTCTTCTTTTTCTTCTTTCTCTGGCAAGGGCACACACTCTCTGACAATTAAAAAGGAAAAAAAAAAAGAAAAAATACATGCAAATAATGTATCCTAGAGAAGAATCAAAATAATAAATTTTTCAGATGGTGGATACGCCATCATGACTTGATCACTACTCAGTGTATACATGTATCAAAACAATGCATTGTACCCCATAAATACACTATAACTAATGTCAATAAAAAATATTTTTAAGTTGGTAAATTTTACTAGTTACTTGAATTTGTCCTCTTTACAAATAGGCCAAGAGACCCATTTCAGCAAAGAGCCTTGCTAGAAGGCAGGCTGCCTGTGGTTGCAGGGTTAACTCACCTTTGGACTCTCAGGTTTGTTTCTTGGGACTTTGAACCGACCTCATGCCCCTCCCTGACCCATCTGGACACCTGTTCAGTGAAGGGCCTTGTTGGAAGGTGGGCTGCCTACAGCTACAGGGTTAACAGCTGAGACCCAGGGTTCATCCCCTCCCCCATTTGCCTTAGGACTTTCAAGGCTTCAGTGTTTAGTATAGCACAGGCACCATCCAATCTCTTCTTAGGCACTGAGTTGAAGCTCAGCAGCTCAGTTTCAGGCACACCTGCTCTCTAGAAACTGGGAAGACTTTGGGTCACCCAGGACCAGTGACAACACTGCAGGGTGCTGGTGAACAACGGGGAGGCAGAGTAGAAGAGAGGGTGCCAATGTTCTATTCCTGCACACCTTTGAATGATTGGAGATACCTTGAATAATTTAGGAAGGAACATAGATCACCAGGTAACTAGAAACCATCATAGAGACACAAGAAATATGAGTAACCAACAAAATGTCTCTCCCCCAAGGGAAAGCATCAATTCCTCAGCACCCACAGACAACACAATGGAAGTTGTAGAAAATGCCAGATAAACAATTCAGAATATTTGTAGTGACCAAACTAACTGAAAAGCAAGAGAAAAGAGACAACGAGCTCCAGAAAATGAAGTCCTTTCACGATTTGAAAGAAGAAATAAACACCATAAAAATTAATCAAACAGAATTGTTAGAGATGAAAAATGAGATACAGAACATTAAAACCTCCCTTGAAAGAACTAAAAGTAGATTAGATCATGAAGAAGATCGAATCTTGAATGTTGAAGACAACACCTCTGACCTAGAAAAAATTATCAAGAAGACTGAGAAAACAACCAAGAAAAAAGAGGATAGTATATGAGAAAAACTAGATACCATCAAGCACCCAAGCATCCAGATAATTGATATCCCAGAAGAGGAAGAAAATATTAAGGGAAATGATAATTTATTCCATGAAACCCAGGAAGAAGATGTTCCAAACCTAGAGAGGCATTCAAATATCCACATCCAAGAAATACATAGGACTCCAAATTGAATCAACCCAAGAAGATCCTCTCCAAGGCACTCTCCAAGGCACAGCAGAACCATATTGGCCAAAACCACAGACAAAGACAAGGTACTAAAATTGGCAAGAGGGAAATGTCAAGTTACTTACAAAGGTCATCAATTAGGCTAATATCAGACCTCTCATAAGAAACAATGCAGGCAAAAAAACAATTGGGGAAATACAGTCAAAGCATTAAATGAAAACAATTTCAACCAAGAATACTATATCCTGCAAGATTATCCTTCATATGGGAAAAACAGATAAAAACATTCTCAGATAAACAAAACCTGAAAGAATTTACCAACTCCAGACCAACTCTTCAAGAGGTTGTAAAGGGAGTCCTATACCAGGAAAACTAAAAAAGTCATAGTGACAGATATAAGAGAACAAAAAATAACCAAGAAAATGGTTCACTTAATGATAGGAAAATGTCCAAAAATATGGATAATAACATTGAACATTAATGGATTAAATTCTCCAATCAAGAGACACAAACTGGCTGAATGAATTAAAAAAAACAGAAACCCTCTATTTGTTGCCTACAAGAAACACATCTTATGGAAAAGACATACACAGACTAAAAGTTAAGGGCTGGAAAAAGATATTCCATGCAAACAAAAATCAAAAAAGGGCTGAAGTTGTGATAGTGATTTCAGACAAAATAGGCTTCAAGACAAAGACTGAAAGAAGGGACAAAGAAGGGAATTATATAGTTGCAAATGGGCTAATATATCAAGAAAACATGGGAACCAGCAGTTAGCGAAATGGTTATGTCGCTGGACTCCCACGTAGTTGACCGCGGTTCACGTCCTGGATCCGGTGGCTTAAAACTCACGCCGGGCACGTGTGCGTGCATGCCCAAGATCCCGAGAAGAGAATGGAGGAGAAGGGATTGCGGCATGACCATCCCCCCTGGGGGGTGATTTCTCGCTTTCTGTCTCTCTGTCTCTCTCTGTCTGTCTGGCGAGTGCACGCGCCCTATAGCAAAAAACCTCACCAAAAAAAAAGAAAACATAACACTTATAAATATCTATGCACCCAACTCAGGAGCACTGAAATACATGAAGGAAGGACTGCTAGAGCTAAAAAAGAGATAGGTTGCAACACTATAATTGTTGGGGATCTCAACACCCTGTTATCTTCTTTAAGACCACAAAATATACATTTTTCTCACCCCAGCATGGAACCTTTGCAAAGATTGACCATATGATAGGACACAAATCAAGCCTTCACAGATTCAAAGGCACACAGTCAATAATCCCAAAAATAGACAAGAGAGATTACATCAGATTAAAAAGTCTCTGCATGGCAAAAGACACAGTAATTAGTGTGAATTGACAGCACTCATAATGGGAAAATATTTTTGTAAACTATGCGTCAGATAAGGGACTAATAACCAGAATACACAGCTTTCCCCAAAAAAGATGATCAACCCTACTAAAAGATGGGAGAATGAGCTGAAACCACCACTCTAAGGAAGACATGAGAATAACAAAAAGGCATATGAAAAAAATGCTTAACATCCCTCAGTATAAGGGAGACGTAGATCAAAACCACAATGAGATATCACCTAAATCCAGTCAGAATGACTAAGATGAAAAAAATAAAAAAGAAAGGAAAAAAAAAAAAGATAAGTGCTGACAGGGGTGTGGTGAAAGGGGAACTCCCCTGCACTGCTGGTGAGAATGTAAATTGGTCCAGCCACTATGGAGAATAATTTGGAGATCCCTCAAAGATCTACAAATAGAACTACCATATGTTCCAGTAATCCCCACTCCTTGGTATCTATCCCAAGGACAGAAGAATCCTTTTTGGAAAAGTGCTTGCACATCAATGTTTATTGTGGCATTATTTACAATTGCTAAGACTGGAACCAACCCAAATACACATAAACAGATGAATGGATTGAAAAAGTGTAACACATATGGAATACAGCTCAGCCATTAAAACGCACAAACAAACAAAAACAGGAAAAAAAAAGAAAACAAGATCCTGGATTCTGACAGAAAGTGGATGAATATGGAATATTTACTGCTGAGTGAAGAAAGCCAGGCTATGAAGGAGAGACATTATATGTCTCCACTTAATAGATAGTGAGGGTCCACACTCTATAGCCAAAACTGAATTACTAGAGGATATAGAAACATAGAAAATGGTTATAAATACCAGATACAGTGTGGGAAGAGGGTGGGTGAAGGAAGAGAGTCTGAGGAAGGACACTAAGGAGAAAAATAGAGAGGCAAGGCATTTCTGGGACAAAAAAAAATGGGTGCACATAAGAAAAAAGATGGAAAGATGACAGACAACCTAAAATCGTGCCTCAAGGAATTGGAAAAGCAACAACTGGAAAACAAAACAAAAAAAAAATGCCAGACAAAAAGAAATAAAAAAGATTCCAGTAGACATAAATAAAATAGAAAATAAACTATGCAGAAAATAAATGAAAGCAAAAGTTGTTTTTTTTAAAGATTAACAAGATCGATGCACCATTAGCTGATAAAGAAAAAGAAAGTAACCAAATAATTAAAATATGTCATGAAATCGGCAACATTACAACATATATGATAGAAATAAAAAGAGGATACTATGAGTGACTATATGCCAACAAACAAGAGGACATGAAGGAGATGGACAAATTCCTGGATGTATGTAATCTACCAAGATTGAATCAGGAGGACATAGGAAACCTGAATAAACTCATAACAAGCCAGGAGATTGAATCAGAAACAAATAACCTCCTGAGAAAGAAAAGTCCAGGTCCTGATAGCTTCACTTCCGAATTCTCTTCCTTTTAAGGAAGAGATAACCTCCATTCTACTTGAATATTTCTAAATATCCAAAAGGAAGAAAACCTTCCAAATTAATTTTATGAAGCCTCCATCATCCTCATTTCCAAAACAGAAAAAGACATGACAAAAAAGGAAAACTACAGACCAATATCTCTGATAAATATAGATACAAAAACTCTCAACAAGATACTTGAAAATTGTATCCAATACCATATAAAAAGGATTATTCATTGAGACCAAGTAGGCTTTATTCCAGGGATACAAGAATGGTTCAACACATGCAAGACCATAAACATAATATGCCATATTAACAGAAAGAAAGATAAAAAATAATATGATTATTTCAACTGATTTAAAGAAAGCATTTGATAAAATACAACATCCCTTCATGATTAAGACTTGCAGCAAGATTGTTATAGAAGGATCATTTCTCAACACAATAAAAGCCATATATGAAAAACATAGCTAACATTATACTGAATGAAGAAAAGCTAAAAGCTTTTCCACTAAAAACTGGTGCTAGACAAGTCTACTCACTTTCTCCACTGCTTTCAATATAGTGCTGGAAGTCTAAGTCAGTGCAATCAGAGAAGAGAATAATATAAAAGGCATTCGAATAGACAAAAGAGAGTTGAAAATATCTTCACATGTAGATGACATGATGATATACTAAGAAGACCAAAAGATTTCCATGAAAAAAATACTCAAAGTAATAAATGAATACAGTAAAGTGTCAAGACAGAAAATCAACATCTAAGAATCTACAGCATTTCTATGTAGAAACAACAAGGTAAACTAAGCAGATCTGAAGAAAGGAATCCCTTTTACTATAGCCACAAAAATGCATAAGAAACCTAGTGATAAACCTAACTAAAGAAGTCAAAAACTTTTCCAAAGAAAACTATGAGAATCTCAAAAAAGATATTGAAAATGACACAAAAAAGTGGGAAAGACATCCCATATTTTTGGATTGGAAAAATATAATCAAAATGGTAATTCTACCCAAATTAATCCACATATTTAATACAATTCCAATTAAATTACCAGAGACCTTCTTCATAGATATAGAAAAAACAATCATAGAATTTGTCTGGAATCATAAAAGACCTCATATTGCCATAGCAATCCTGTGCAAGAAGAGTGGAGTAGGTGACATCTTAACTCCCTGACCCCAAAATATACTATAAATCTGCAAAACATACTATAAATCTGTCATAATCAAAACAGCATGGTATCAGCACAAAAACAGACAGATGAACCAGTGGAATAGACTAGAAACCCCAGAAATAAAACCCAAAGCTTATAGCTAACTTATTTTTTGACAGAGGATACCAGTCAATCCATTGGGAAAAGGAAATCTCTTTAGCAAATGGTGCTGGGAAAACTGAGTATTCACCTGCAGAAAGATGAAACTAACTCTCCATGTTTCACCATTAACAAAAATCAGCTCAAAATGGGTCAAAGAGCTGAAACTGAAACCTCAAACTATAAAACTACTGGTGGAAAACATTAGGGTAGGCAAAGACTTCTTAAAGAAGACTCCCAAAGCATAGGCAATAATCCCTAAAATAAACAAATGGGACTATATCAAATTAAGAACTTTCTGCAAGCAAAGGACACAGTAATTACTGTTAATGGACAATCCTCAGAATGGGAAAGTATTTTTGCAAAATATGCCTCAGATAAGGGACTGACAATGAGAATACATAGGGAACTCAAGTGGCTTACCTGGAAAAAAAAATGGTTAACCCAATTAAAATATGAGAAAATGACCTGAACAAAAATCTCTGTAGAGAAGACATACAAACAGCCAAAAAGCATGTGAGGAGGTGTTCAACACCCCTCATCATAAGGGAGATGCAGATTAAAACCACAATGAGATACCACCTAATCCCTGTCAGAATGGGAAAGATTAAAAATACAAAAAGTGATAGTGTTGCCGAGGTTGTGGTGAAAGACAAACTCTCTTATACTGCTGGTGGGAATGTAAATTGGTTCAGTCACTGCTGAAAACAATATGGAGGTTCCTGAAAGATCTACAAATAGAACTACAATTTAATCCAGTCATCCCACTTCTGGTTATCTATCCAAAAGACAGGAGAACACTCAGTCAGAAAAGTGTTTGCACATCAATGTTTATTGCAGCATTATTCACAATTGCTAAGACATGGAACCAACCCAAATGTCAACAAACAGATGAATGACTCAAAAAAGTGTGGCACCTATACTCTGTGGAATAACTCAAAAAAGTGTAGCACCTATACTCTATGGAATAATCTTCAGCCATAAAAAAAAAACAGCAAGACCCTGGCAATTGAAAGAAAGTGGTTAAATATGGAAGACTTACTGCTGAGTGAAGCAAATCAGGCTATGAAAGAAAGATACTGTATGTGTATACTGACTGTCTGTACTCTATGATAGAGATTGAAATAGTGGAGAGCATAAAAGCAATGAAAATAGTTATGGATGCTGAAGACAATGTGGAAGGGGTGGAGGAAGAAGGGAAGAATATAGAACAGGATAGCATGAGAACAAAAAGAGAGGCATGACATTTGTGGGACACAGAAATGGGTTATTGCGCTGATAACATGGATAGTATTCTTTACTGGACTGGTCTGAGAAGTATTTCATGTTAGGTAAATTCTCTTTACAAGCCAAATGATATAGTGATTGAATAGTGATTGAATGGTTTTAAAAAAATAATGAGAATAAAAAATAATAATAGCTTTTAAAAAAGAAAGGCCAAGAATTTCTTCTGGATTATAACCTGTTACCTAAGCACATGCACTTAAAAATATATCCTTACCTTACATCTTCTTCTTTCACTCAGATAAGCCAGTCTCCTTCCTACCTTGGGGGTCTTTTCACTCTCTGCCAGTCCTTTTTGTGGCTGTTTCCTCTCCACATTCTATCTCAGTTCAAATGTTACCTCCTCCTCAAGGAGCTCTTCCTTGAATAGATAAGGTACCAGCACTTTCCCACACCATCACAACAAAAGTTACAGATCCTCTATCACTGCTCATCACTCTGGTTTATTCTCCTCTTAGTGTTCACTACTATCTAAAACTATTTATTTCCCTATTTATTTTCTGTCTCCCTTCAACAAATGTGAGCACTGAGAGAAGTTTCTTGTCTATCTTGTTCACTAGAGCATAATGGCACATCACAAGGTTGAATGGATATTGAAGGACCCATTCTGTAGTCCTTTAAAATTGATCTTTATTTTCCCCTTGCAAAGTCTCCACTGCATAAAAGGTAAAAAAAAGTATTGAGAAAGACAGAAAGATATGTGTACCGATATTCTTGATGAAATTCTTTGTCTTTCCCTGGTGAACAAATACACTGTATGAATGTCCATAATGCTGATGATAACATGTACAGGCCAATGCTGATATGCAAGCGATTTTCAAGAGAGGTATAATTGCTTATAAAGATGGTTATTTTAAAGACTTAGACTTGACCCACAGGTCATTTGACTCCCCAAATGCTCTTATTTCATAGACTATGTGGACATGGAGTCAAAGCCAGAGAACCGACTAATATGAACTCAACATCAGTTATTTTTCACAATATTTTGTTTACAAAAAGAGGTATAATTTGATGGATTAAAATACTCAAAGCAATAAAAATAGATGCATTATATTAATATATCCATTCATTTAACAATATACATTTTTCTGCTCAATATACTTCTACATTCAATACTTCATATAATCCTAAAAACTTTGTGACATTGGTAAAAATTTTTCAACAAAAAGAAATATAATGTGAGTTTGATCAGTAGCAGGAGCAGAGGGTGGATCCCAGAGAGCCCTGAGCAGCCCCACCGCCGCTGCCGGCCTTGTTACCATCACAACCTGGAAGGAGCTGCAGCTGCCCCAGCGGACCCCAGTCACCACCATCATAACCGTGAGCAGCGAGGTGGAGACCCAGCCCCCACACTCAGTGCTGCCAACACCAAGCCTGGCACCAGGGGCAGTGGTGCAGGGAGCAGCGGCCTGGGCGGCCTCACATCCCTGGTGCCTGCCAGCAGGGACAAGAAGGTCATCACAAGGAAGGTTTTGGGAATAGTAGAATGGTTCAATGTAAGAAATGGATACGGTTTCATCAACAGGAATGACACCAAGGAAGATGTATTTGTACACCAGACTGCCATAAAGAAGAATAACCCCAGGAAGTACCTTCGCAGTGTAGGAGATGGGGAGATTGTGGAGTTTGATGTTGTTGAAGGAGAAAAGGGTGCGGAGGCAGCAAACATTACAGGCCCTGGTGGAGTTCCAGTTCAAGGCAGTAAATATGCAGCAGACCGTAACTATTATAGACGCTATCCACGTCGTAGGGGTCCTCCATGCAATTACCAGCAAAATTACCAGAATAGTGAGAGTGGGGAAAAGAATGATAGATTGGAAAGTGCTCCTGAAGGCCAGGCCCAACAACACCAGCCCTACCTCAGGCGAAGGTTCCCCCCTTACTACATGTGGAGACCCTATGGGCGTTGACCACAGTATTCCAACCTTCCTGTACAGGGAGAAGTGATGGAGGGTGCTGACAACCAGGGTGCAGGAGCACAAGCTAGACCAGTCAGGCAAAATATGTATCAGGGTTATAGATCACGATTTCACAGGGGCCCTCCTCGCCAAAGACAGCCCAAAGAGGACGCCAATGAAGAGGATAAGGAAAATCAAGGAGATGAGACCCAAGGTCAGCAGCCACCTCAAAGGTCGGTACCAACACAACTTCAATTACCAATGCAGACGCCCAGAGAACCCTAATCCACAAGACTGCAAAGAGACAAAAGCAGCCAATCCACCAGCTGAGAATTCGTCCCCTCCCAAGGCTGAGCAGGGCGGGGCTGAGTAAATACCAGCTTACCATCTCTACCATCATCCAGTTTAGTCATCCTACAAGAAGTAAATTCCAGCAATAAGAAATAAACAAAAGATTGGAGCTGAAGACCTCAAGTGCTTCCTTTTTGCTCATTGACCGGATAACTAGAATGGTCTGCATTATCTATGCAGTCATTGACCTGATAACTAGAATGGTCTGCATTATCTATGCAGCATGGGATTTTTATTATTTTTACCTAAAGATGTTTTTTTCTGGTAATGACAAATGTGTTTTTTTTTTTTAAAAAAAAAAAAAAAAAAAAAAAAAAGCCTGGTTTTTCTCAATACACCTTTAAAGGTTTTTAAATTGTTTCATATCTGGTCAAGTTGAGATTTTTAAGAACTTCATTTTTAATGTGTAATAAAAGTTTACAACTTAATCTTTTCAAGAAAGTCAACAAACTGCAAGCACCTGTTAATAAAGGTCTTAAATAATAAAAAAGAAAAGAAATATAATGTAACTGAGGAATGATGCTTTTGAAGAAAGAGAGAAATACCAAGGAACTCAGGTCTTAAAGTAGTAATGGAAATGGTGAAATGGAACAATAGGAAAATGTGGGGTCTTCTAAAAGTCCATGGAAAATGCAGTATTATGAAAAAAACTACTCATAGCTTTCAAATGTTTTAGCACCAGGATAAACTAATACTTCAATTCTGTTTGCCCACAAACTTTGAAAAAAAATCCCCTCAGATAAACAACTTCCTTTAATGGCTTTTATTTCTATATCTACCTTAAGCTTCTACCTCTTGATCATAGTCCACTTTCAAAATAACATATCTGGCCAATTTAGACGTGGATAAAACATGCAGGTTAAATAAATCCTTAGATATACATAACATGTACATACAAAACTTTATGTAGGTAATATGACTCATTTAACTGCAAAGAAACCCCTATTTTTTATAATTTTTTAACTCTACATATACTCTAATTTAAAAATCTTCAATTACTTATATATCTGCTCACACTTTCTTTGAAATTCTTTTTATTTATTTATTTTTAGAGATTTTTGTATGTGTGCCCTCCAGAGATTGATAGATAAAAGGCAAGAAATCACTCCCCAGGGGTATGGCCATGCTGCAATCCCTTCTCTTTCACTCCCCTTTTGTGATTTTGAGCATACATGCACACACACTCAGAGTGATTTTGAAGCCACTGAGTCCAGGACTTGCATGAACTGTGTTGGTCATGTGGGAGTCTAATGAGGTTGCCATTAAACCACTTGCTGGTCTCTCTTTGAAATTCTTAAAAATTTTGGGTTTTAACAGATTTGTCTCTTTACATTTATTTTCTTAAATATCCATCTTAATTACTTTCCTCCTTTCCTAAACTTACTAATAATATTACCCATTCATAGCAAATGTAATCAGCCAGTCAAGGGTTCGGTGGTTAAGGTGGCTAGCTAGATTCCATGTGGCTGTGTGGTTTGAATTCCAGAACAAATGACTTAAAAATGAAGTCAGGAACACATGTATGTGTGCTCAAAATCTCAAAAGGAAAAATGGAGAGGAAGAGATTGCAATATGACTGCTTCCCATGAGGAGCATTCTCTCCACTTCTCTGTCTGTCTCCCCTAGGTAAGTGCATTGCTTTCTAGCATATTAACAAATCAACAAAGAAAACAAAACATAGTATTAGGGACCAGACTGGCACAGTTGTAACACGATTGGATCCAGATGGGAAGGTCTTGGGTTTGTGTCCTGGGGCCTCTCTTTGCAGGCCAGGCAAAACATGCATGTGACCCTAATCAGGGTTGGCTGATACTAGGGGCAGATTACAGCATGAAGACCCTATTGGGAGTGTCTCTGATGGAAACTCAGCTTCTGCCCTTCCCTCTCCTCTCCTGGACTTACAGGGCCTGAAATTCTACCATGCTGGGCCTTGAGGATTAATTATTCTTTAAAGAAAATGCAATTAGGAGACAGTAGGTGACATGATGATTAAGGCACTGGACTCCCACATGGTCAATGGAAATTCCAGTCTCAGACTTGGTAGCTTGAAAATCAGGCCAGGCACTTATGCATGCATGCCCAAAATCCCGAGGGAAGAATAGAGGAGAAGAGATGGCACCATGGTCATCCCTCAATCCCAGGGGTGATTTCTCACTTTCTCTCTATGTCTCCAGATTGTGCACACTCCCTATGGCAAACAAACAAACAAACAAAAAACTGAAATTAAAATAGAAATACTTTCACTGGATGTGATGCATTATTATTTTTTTAACAAAATCATTAAAGTACTTTTTTAAAATTTGATTCCTATCAGAAGATAAAGTGATACCTTACAGTTTTGCCATTACTAGCACATTATTTGCTCTGCCACAACAAGATAATAAAGGTTGTAGCAGGTGATTGTTTTGTTTTTGAGCAAAACAGTTACAAGTTTTTATGGCTGTACGAATTTTTAAAGCCATTAATTTATTCTAACATCCCCATTTTTTACTTTCATAAGTTCCTGCATACTAATTAAGTGTGTAAAATTTTCATATAGCCACATCTCATTATGAATCTTAATCAATGGATCCCTCCTATCACATTTGAGCTAAGCCTCCTCTTCCATTACCCAGATGACAAATTAACAAATTACAATGCTATAATTCTATTTTTCTCCCTTATTGGGAAAATGATACAATAGATCACTTATATCCTCTTTTCAGCCAGCATTACATCATGGGCCTGAGCATTGAAATATGCCAGAGATCTTGTTCATCTGATCCTATAGCATGTCTAGATTTTATTAACTAAATATTTAGCAGGACCAGCAGTTGGTGTAATGGCTATGTTGCTGGACTCCCACGTACTCGACCGCAGTTCAAGTCCCGGACCCAGTAGCCTAAACTCACACCAGGCACATGTGCATATATGTCCAAGATCCCGAGAGGAGAATGAAGGAGAAGGGATTGCAACATGACCATCTTTCCTGGGGAGTGATTTCTTGCTTTCTGTCACTCTGTCTCTCTCTGTCTTTCTAGCGAGTGCACACACCCTATAGCAAAAACCTCTCCAAAATAAATAAATAAAACAATAAAAAATAAAATATTTAGCATTTTTCAACTGAAAGACATCAAATACAACACATGGCTTCATTATACAAAAACATGCATTGCATATTACCAGAAAAAGGTAATTAGGATTTCATATCACAAATTCGTATAACAAAACAAACCATATATTGAGGTCCCTAGATGTTGGGTCAGAAAATATTTAGTCAGCCACTCTCTACTGTTCTAGTGGATTGATTCACCTTTTTCCAAACCTATATTCTAAAGTCTAACTCATGTCAGTTATTTCATGCCTATCTCAGGTGAACCACCTGTTAGACATATTTTAAGTATTTGAAGTGATCTGTACCACCCTTTCATCTCCAACTTCCAGAGATCTGTTCACTTTCTCTTTCCTGCAGAGCACATGTAGTTTCTCAGTCTTTGAACAGTCAGTGCTTTCTTTCTTTTCTCCCAGGATATTACCAAAATGACAGTTTTAAAAAAAAATGTTATTAATCTCTAATTAAGAAGAGCATGAGAAAAGGACCATAGCTAGAAAGTGAGGAAATTTCTGAAAGGAAAAAAAAATAGATTAGCTTGGAAGACATTATATTAACTGAAATATCCCAGGAACAAAAATAAAATAATCATATGTTTTCAGTCATGTGGATACTAAAAAGTTGTCCTTTTTTTTTTTATTTATTATAATTATTATTATTTTGGAGAGGTTTTTTTTTTTTTTTCTCTATAGGGTGCGTGCGCTCGCCAGACAGACAGAGAGCGACATAGAGACAGAAAGCGAGAAATCACCCCCCAGAGGGGATGGTCACGCCGCAATCCCTTCTCCTCCATTATCCTCTTGGGATCTTGGGCACACACGCACGCACATGCACCCAGCGTGAGTTTTAAGCCATCAGGTCTGGGATGCAAACCGCGGACGACTACGTGGGAGTCCAGCGACATAGCCATTACGCTAACTGCTGGTTCCCAAAAAGTTGTCTTCTTCATAGAAGTTAGAATAGTGGCTACCAGAAGTCTTGAAAGGGTAAGGATAGAGGATGAACTAGAAAGATATTAGTTAACAAATACAAAACTACAGTTAGACAATAAAAATAAGTTCTGTTCTATAACCAGGTAGGGTTATCTATAGTTAACAATAATTTACTATATAAAACAAAATAGTGAAAAGAGAGGATTATAACATTCTCAACACAAAGTAATGATAAATATTTGAGATAATGAATATATTAATTACTCTGATTTGATCATTATACAATATATTCATACACTGAAAAATCGCATTGTACCCTATAAGCAAGTATAACTATTTGATAATGATAATAAATAAAACAAACTATACACCTAGAGAAAATTTAAAAATATACCCTATAAAAGCAAAAAAAATATTGTTTTTAATTAACAAAAAATTAGGGACTAAACGGTGATGCAGCACAAATACTCAATGTTTTGTGAGACTGAACCACGTGAGAGAGTTCTGGGTTCACATTTAGAAAACTTCTTGAGTACACTAGTCACAAATGTTCATATGACATGGGTTGACTAGACCTGGGGATGGATTACAGAATGATGACCCTGTTGCAAATGCCATATTGATCTTTCTTTCCCTGTCTGTCTCTCTCAATCATGGGATAAATAAACTTTTTAAATATATATACTAACATGATATTTTAATGTGGTTTAGATTTGTATTTCCCTGATGATTTGTGAAGTTGCATATCTTTTCAAGTAGTTGTTAGTCATACTGATGCCTGTGTTGGAAAAAATGTGTATTCAGATCTATTGTCATTTTTATAATCAGTTTGTTTATTTATTGCTACTGAATTGCAAATTTATCTACTTTGCAAATGTTTTATCCCATTCCATAGGTTGCTTTCTCTATTTTCTTCTTCCTCTTTCTTTTTTTTTTTTCCCTTGTTGATGTTGTCTCTTTTACTGTACAGAAGCTTTTTAGTTTGATGTGATCCCATTGGTCCATTTTTGCTTTTCATTTTTGTGTTTCTGGTGT